CAAATGCAAATAGCACACTTGAAATGAACTCTGGACCTTTTTTCTGCTCATTGTAATTGGGATAATGAGGGAATAACACACACCTGGCCATGGAACAGCTGAGAAGCCAATTGTCCCATTACTTTTGGTCCCTTAACAATTGGGAGGCACATATGCAAACTGTTGTAATTCCTACACCGTTTACCTGATTTGGATGTAAATACCCTCAAATTAAAGCTGGCAGTCTGCAGTTAAAGCACATCTTGTTCGTTTCATTTCAAATCCATTGTGGTGGTGTATAGAGCCAAAAATGTTAGAATTGTGTCGATGTCCCAATATTTATGGACCTGACTGTATGTAGACATGCTGCATTTTATCGCAGTGGAATGGCCCAAATCACACTCCAATGTCTGGAAGCACATCACGCTGCCAGACATTGCAGTGAATGAAGTATATGTTTTGTACACTTCAAATAAACTTCATAAAAAAACAATTAAAAAAAAAAGAGGCAGTGCGCAGAATTGCACACCACAATGTCCCGCAGAGCAGCTGGCAGCGCAGAGCAGCTGGAGCAGTGAATCGTTCTAGCTGCTCTGCAATTTGACAACTGCATATTGTGAAGTCACACTTAAGGCACAGTCACATGAACTTTTGTCTCTGAAGAGCAATCTGTATTTGGATCTCTCTTCAGAGAGCATTTAACATGTGGTGAGAAGGTGTTGTATAATCGCCTTACCTCCTAGTTTTAACCCCATGATCCCTGCTCTGCTGTTCCTCAGTCACTTGTGTGACCAAGCCCTTGCGGAGTTATCACTGTGATAGTCAAGCACAGGCTATCACAGCAATCATGTGATCAGGAGCCAGTCTTCCCAGTTCCCAATCATTACTACAAAACCCCTGGAGTTGGTGACAGCTTGATGTCTGTGCTGGAAGCATGCTTTGGAGCACACACATTGGTGAGCACATATGCAGCTGCTCAGAAGGCTCACCTCCTTGACTCCGCATATGTGTTACGCCAGCATCACCAGGTAAAATGGAACCTTGGGAATATGAAATAAACTACCCTTACGTTGAGGCTCCCCCCGACCCCCACAATACTTAAATTTTGCCTTGGGTAAAAGCACATTTAAATACCATATCTCTTAGGCTATGTTCACACTAGCTCTGTCAGCAGGAGTCAGACAGGCGTTTTGGGAATTGTTTTTAATGCTTCCCAAACGCCTCTGAAAATTCTGCACATGGCAGCACACAGTGCTGTTCACATGGAAGCGTTAGCGTCGCCTCAGAATGGACGCCTCTGGACGAGTCAGGAGGAGTTGAAGCCTCCCATTCAAATCTATGGTGCCGCTCCGCAAACGCCTGGCCGGCATTTTGACATGGTTGCAAGGTGTTTGTGGAACGATAATACCATTTAAACTTCATTATAGGCGTTTGTGGTGTGGTTTTAACGCTTGGCAACCGCCTATCAACCTCCTCAAAACCACACATAGGGCATTTTGGGAACGTTTGCGGAGCGTTAAAAACGCTTCACAAATGCCTGTCTAATGCCTGTCAAACACTATAGGGGCGTTTGGCAAGAGTTAGAAATATAAGTCAAGTGTGAACGAGCCCTTACTCCTCCGGCAGCCTCTCGTCTTCTTTCCGATGCCCCAGGTTATGGGCAGGCCCTTGACGTCCTCCTAATGCAGGATAGAGGATGTCACAGATGTGACCACCAGACCGTGTGCCAGAGAGAAGAGCCAAACTTCTGCAATTCTTCCTCAGGTGAGAAAAGTAGCAGTGGGTACGTTAGAAAAACTTTGAAAAGTGGTAGAGGAGGATGATGAGCAGAGCTTTCACTTTTAAGTGAAATTCCTCTTTAAATGGACCCAGGGGTGGGTGGACATACAGTGGATATAAAAAGTCTACACACCCCTTTTAAAATGTCAGGTTTCTATGATGTAAAAAAAATGAGACAAAGATAAATCATTCCAGAACTTTTTCCACCTTTAATGTGACCTATAAACTGTACAACTCAGTTGAACAACAAAGTGAAATCTTTTAGGTGGAGGGAAGTAAAAATAAAAAACTAAAATAACATGGTTGCATAAGTGTGCACACTCTTAAATACTTTGTTGAAGCACCTTTTGATTTGATTCCAGCACTCAGTCTTTTTGGGTATGAGTCTATCAGCATGGCACATCTTCACTTGGCAATATTTGCCCACTCTTCCTTGCAAAAACACTCCAAATCTGTCAGATTGCGAGGAGATCTCCTGTGCACAGCCCTCTTCAGATCACCCCACAGATTTTCAATCAGATTCAGGTCTGGGCTCTGGCTGGACCATTCCAAAACTTTCATCTTCTTCTGGTGACGCCATTCCTTTGTTGATTTGGATGTATGCTTTGAGTTGTTGTCATGCTGAAAGATGAAGTTCCTCTTCATGTTCAGCTTTATAGCAGAAGCTTGAAGGTTTTGTGCCAATAGTGACTGATATTTGGAACTGTTCAGAATTCCCTCTACCTTGACTAATGCAGGCCATAGATGGGTCGAAAATCGGCCAAAAATAAAATCGGCCGATTTTCGGATCGTTAGTGGGCTATTTGTTCGGCCGTTTTTCTGTATTTTGGCAGATTTTTTTTATCGGTAAAGTTGAAAAAAAAAATCGGCCGATTTTCACGGCAATGATGGGCAAATCAGCCGATTTTTACCGATAAAAAATCTGCGCATGAGCAGTGACCTGCAAGAGGAAGACAAAAAGAAGAAAAAGAAGAAGAGGAAGAGGAAGAAGAGGATGAAAGAAGAAGAAGAAGAGGATGATGATGAAGATGAAGAAGAGGAGGAGGAGGATGAAGAAGAAGGATGATGATGAAGAAGAGGAGGAGGAGGAGGAGGATGAAGAAGAAGAAGAAGAGGATGAGGATGATGATGAAGAGGAGGATGATGATGACGAAGAAGAGGAGGATGATGAAGATGAAGAAGAGGAGGATGATGAAGAAGAAGGATGATGATGATGAAGAAGAGGATGAGGATGATGATGAAGAAGAAGAAGAGGATGATGATGAAGAAGAGGATGATGAAGAAGAAGAGGATGCGGATGATGATGAAGAAGAGGATGAGGATGATGAAGAAGAAGAACAGGATGATGATGATGATGATGAAGAAGAAGAACAGGATGATGATGAAGAAGAAGAAGAGGATGATGATGATGATGAAGAAGAAGAAGAGGATGATGATGAAGAAGAAGAAGAGGATGATGATGATGAAGAAGAAGAGGATGATGATGATGATGATGATGATGATGATGAAGAAGAAGAAGAGGAAGAAGAAGAAGAAGGATGAAAAATAAGAGGAATTCCAGTCCTGCAAAAAGTGTCCCTGCAGAGAGCTCCGCTATTTCTTTGACAGTTCTTTGACAGTTCCTTGACATTTACAGCGGTTGCAACATTGTATCTATTTGTTTCCGAATAAAAACATCTGTACCCTAAATGGATACAAATAGATACATTGTTGCAACCTCTGTAAATGTCAAAGAACTGTCAAAGAAATAGCAGAGCTCTCTGCAGGGACACTTTTTGCCGGCTGTAGACGGGATGAAAATCGGCCGTTTTTTTTTTCTACCATTGCTGGTAACGTCGGCCGCTTGAACGACCGATTTTTCGTTTTTTAAAAGAAAAATCGGCCGTTTTTCTCCCCGTCTATGGCCTGCATAAGGCCCCAGTTCCAGCTGAAGAAAAACAGCATCAAAGCATGATGCTGCCACCACCATGCTTCACTGTGGGTATGGTGTTCTTTTGGTGATGTGCAGTGTTGTTTTTGCGCCAAACATATCTTATGGAATTATGGCCAAAACGTTCAGCCTTGGTTTCATCAGACCATAACACATTTACCAACATGCTTTTGGGAGACTTCAGATGTGTTTTTGCAAAATTTAGCCAGGCTTGGATAATTTCTTGGTAAGAAAAGACTTCCATCTTGCCACTCTACCCCATAGCCCAGACATATGAAGAATGCAGGAGATTGTTGTTACATGTACCACACAGCCAGTACTTGCCACATATTCCTGCAGCTTCTTTAATGTTGTTGTAGGCCTCTTGGCTTCCTCCCAGACCAGTTTTCTTCTCGTTTTTTCATCAATTTTGGAGGGACGTCCAGTTCTTGGTAATGTCACCGCTGCGCCATATTTTCTCCACTTGATGATGACTGTCTTCACTGTGTTCCATGGTATATCTAATGCCTTGGAAATTCTTTTGTACCCTTCTCCTTTTAACAATGAGATCCCTCTGATGCTTTGGAAGCTCTCTGCGGACCATAGCTTTTGCTGTAGGATGCGACTAAGAAAATGTCAGGAAAGACCTACTAGAACAGCTGAACTTAATTTGGGGTTAATCAGAGGCACTTTAAATGATGGCAGATGTGTACTGACTCCTATTTAATGTGAATGTGATTGTTTAATTCTGTACAGTTACATCCCCAGTTATAAGAGGGTGTGCACACTTATGCAACCACATTATTTTAGTTTTTTATGTTTACTTCCCCCCCTAAAAGATTTCAGTTTGTTTTTCCATTGAGCTGTACAATTTATAGGTCACATTAAAGGTGGGAAAAGTACAGAAATTATTTATTTTTGTACATCACAGAAACCAGACATTTTAACAGGGTGTGTAGACTTTTTACATCCACTGTAGGTGGACGTGGGCCAATTTACACATTTTGATCTGTTTTTTTTTACCTAAGAATGCACAGAGGGACCAACTAGTGCAATGGGAGCTCCACCACAAGAGTTGTCTTTTCATATTTCCAGGGTTCAGCTTTAACAATGGAGTAGGGGGGGGGGGTTCAGGGCAGGAAGGGTGCAGAAAGGTGAAGATGGTCTTCCAAACAAACTCATGTCTGAGACTCCCCTTCAGTATGATCTTCAGTAGGACTTCCTGCTACACAAACAGGTGGAATTTGCTCTCAGGTAAGATAATCTGAACCCCGATTTCCTGATCCTGTGACTGTAGTGGTCAGAGCCCCACACTCCCTCCCAATACACTCACCAGAACCACTCGCTTCCGAAGCTGGGCACAGAAAACACCCCCCAATGGATGAAGATCCCGAACTTAACGTCATCGAACCAGTCCGGGATGGGTCTGGAATCCACAGACTCCCACGTGGGCTCATACTTGACTCCAGCCCACCCGAGCTGTGCCCCCAGGAGGAGTATAAAGGCGGCCTGTAGAGGGAGCGCTCCTTCCATTGCCGACCCCCGGACAGCCGGCGTCTGGCTTCTTCCTGGACGGTCACATGACACGGAGAGGGGCGTGCTGATCACTCATCGCTAGACTCTCCCCAGTGTACGGATCACAGCGCAGCTTTCCACACGCAGAGCTCTGTACAGGACGGCTGACCGCTACTACGCATGTACTGGTGCCCAGACAATTGTAATATTGCTAGGCGTTGGTCGGAACTTTGATATCTTGGCTATGTGTTTGTTGGTTTAGTGAGCTTCCTTCTAGTAATCCCACTTGGGTGACATACCTTAGTGCTCAGTTCATGTGTGGACCCAAGGCTAAAGGAAGTTTCCTTTCTGTTCCTCCCAGGGCCAGGTCACACCACAAAAATGCAGACCTGTTCTTGATGTTCATGAATGCATATTTTTCATGCATTTTTGATATGTTCCGATGCATTTTTGTTGCATTTCTAGATGCATTCCCGATGCTTTTTTTCATTGTCCTGGGGTCCAGTGAGTTTCCGATGCAGAAAAAGAAACCACATTGGACTGCATATGGCGTGAGCTGGCCCTTAGGGCAGGTTCACACTATGCCCTGATATGAATAATAAAATAGTGCAGCGCTTAGGAAACCAAAAACTGAAAAAAATGAAATGCACATCAAATAATGGAGATTCTTATAAATAGTCTGTATAGTATTAATTGTGCCAGGTGACTGGTAATCAACGGTGGTGCTCCGTGGAAAATAGCAGAAATGCGTACTCACCAGAAAGTAAATAAAAGCGGTGTATATCATATCCCGAGGATCCTCATCAGGAAGAAAAGGGTCTGGTCAGAATGGGTAATCCTCCCTCCGGGTTGCATTCAGAACTCGCCCAAAAGATGAACCAGATCCAGGTAACCAGAGGTCTCCTAATGTGGGATGGATGGAAGGAGCTGCCTGTTTACAGGGGGCCTTCCTCCTCTTGGTGCCTGGATCGTGACAATGGGCTCTGCAAATAAAACTCCTTTCAAAGAGTCAGGGAAGGACGCCCATAGTGTAGTAATGTTGAATAATAGCTTTATTATAGACAAGGTAGTGGTATGCAAACATAATAATAAAAGGTCATCAAAGTATAGAGAGTGAACTAACCCTAGGCAATTCAAATATGGCCGCCAGGCCTCCATGTGGCTCCGGCGGCATAGCGTCACGACGTCCGGGCTCCTGACATGAATTGCACAGGAACGCTTTGTGGGTTCCTGTGTGATTCATATGTGGTGCAATTTCATGCCCGTTCATTGGAATGGGATGAAATCGCACTGTGCTAAAAGTAGTACATGCACTACTTTTTTTAAATACATGACATGATACTTTGTACCACGCGGTTTGGTGCGGGCTACATTTGCAACCTGCGTTTGGGGGTGTTGTTAACTTTACCTGACCCCCGAAGCAGATCGCATTGCAATCGGAATGCGGTGCGGGAAGCCGCAGGGGAATGTGGCTCTCCCGCACCGCGTTCTGGTATAAACAAGCCTCGGGAAGCCGCAGGGGAACGTGGCTCTCCTGCGCCGCGTTCTGGTATGAACAAGCCACGGGAAGCCGCAGGGGAATGTGGCTCTTTCGCACACCGCGTTCTGGTATGGGGAAGCCGCAGGGGAACGTGGCTCTCCCACACTGCGTTCTGGTATGAACAAGCCTCGGGAAACGCAGGGGAACATGGGTCTCCCGCACCGCGTTCTGGTATGAAGAAGCCTGGTGTCAGGGCTCCCAGGTATGACCAGAGATGTGTGACTGATGCAGGGAAACGCAGACTTCAGAAATGTGATAAACAATATAATTTATTAACACTAACCATACAAACATAAACGCAGTGCAATACTAAACATAATACAGTGCAAACAAACCAAACCAACCACCCACAGATAACAGTACATACAAGCAAGCGTCGTCAGGCAGGCCGGGTCAATATCAATTGGGCAGGTAGGTACGGGGGGAGCAAGCAGAGAATGGTCGGGGTCACAGGCCAGGTTCAGCAGGTAGCAAGCAGCGAGGTACAGAGGGTCAGACAGAGGGGTGGTCAGGGTCACAAGCCAGGATCAGAGCAGGAGAAGTCAGCAGCAGTTCAGATCAGGGTCAGCAAAGGAACAGAAACAGGATGCAGGACAGATACAGGGCCCAGGACAAACACAACACCAAGGCAGAGTCTGCAAGTCTGGCCATCCCTTAAATACCCCAGTATCATCAGTTCCAGGTGTTAGCTGGCTGAAAGGTTGAGTCTCTGATTGCTGGGAGCACCCGCTGGCCAGCCCTGGTACTGCAGATCAAAAGGCAGGTGAGTCCCACCATTGCTGGCCAGTCCATTCCTAACAGTACCCCCCCCTCAAGGAGCGGCCTCAGGACGCTCCAAACAGTCCTAGCTGGGCAAAATGTTCCACCGCCCGGGTCTGGCAACTGGCGGGATAGCAAAGACTGGCACACCGGGCAGGACTCCGGGCAGCGGCACACCGGGCTGGACTCCGGGCAGCGGCACATCGAGCAGAGGCACTCCGGGCAGAGGCACACCGGGCAGAGGCACATCGGGCAGGACTCCGGGCAGAGGCACATCGGGGCAGGACTCCGGGCAGAGGCACATCGGGCAGGACTCCGGGCAGAGGCACATCGGGCAGGACTCCGGGCAGAGGCACATCGGGCAGCAGACTCCGGGCAGAGGCACATCGGGCAGGACTCCGGGCAGAGGCACATCGGGCAGGACTCTCCGGGCAGAGGCACATCGGCAGGACTCGGGCAGAGGCACATCGGCAGGATTACCAGGCGAAGCACATCTGGCAGGCATGCGGGCAGCAGCAGGGCCACCAGTCAGGCGGAGCAGCAGGCACCGGGCCCCCCGGGGCGGGGCGACAGCAGGCACCGGTGTCCCCCGGGCGGGGCAGGCACCGGGGCCCCCGGGGGCGACAGGCACCGGCCCCCCGGGCGGGGGGCAGGCACGGGGCACCGGGGCCCCCGGGCGGGGCGGGCAGGCACCGGGCCCCCGGGCGGGGCGGCAGGCACCGGCCCCCCCGGGCGGGGCGGCAGGCACCGGGCCCCCGGGCGGGGCGGCAGGCACCGGGCCCCCCGGGCGGGGCGGCAGGCACCGTGCCCCCGGGCGGGGCGACAGGCATCGTCCCCGGAGCGACAGGTTCGGGCGGAGCGGCGGGCGCCGGACCCCCAGGCGGAGCGACAGGTCTCGGGCCCTCAGGCGGAGCGGCGGGCGCCGGACCCCCAGGCGGAGCGACAGGTCTCGGGCCCTCAGGCGGAGCGGCGCGGGCGCCGGACCCCCAGGAGGAGCGACAGGTCTCGGGCCCTCAGGCGGAGCGGCGGGGCGCCGGACCCCCAGGTGGAGCGACAGGTCTCGGGCCCTCAGGCGGAGCGGCGGGCGCCGGACCCCCAGGCGGAGCGACAGGTCTCGGGCCCATAGGCGGAGCGGCGGGCGCCGGACCCCCAGGAGGAGCGACAGGTCTCGGGCCCTCAGGCGGAGCGGCGGGCGCCGGACCCCCAGATGGAGCGACAGGTCTCGGGCCCTCAGGCGGAGCGGCGGGCGCCGGACCCCCAGGTGGAGCGACAGGTCTCGGGCCCTCAGGCGGAGCGGCGGGCGCCGGACCCCCAGATAGAGCGACAGGTCTCGGGCCCTCAGGCGGAGCGGCGGGCGCCGGACCCCCAGGTGGAGCGACAGGTCTCGGGCCCTCAGGCGGAGCGACAGGTCTCGGGCCCCCAGGCGGGGGCGGCGGGCGCCGGATCCCCAGGCGGAGCGGCGGGCGCTGGACCCCCAAGCGGAGCAACAGGTCTCGGGCCCCCAGGCGGAGCGTAGCGGCGGGCACCGAGTCACCAGGCACGACAGTGGGCTCCGAGTCAACTGGTATGACCGCAGGCACTGGGTCAGACATTGTATGGTCTGGCTGGACAGCGGGCATCGGGTCACCAGGCATCAGGTCATTTGGCTCGACAGCGGGCACCGCGTCATCTGGCAAGGCAGTGGGCTCCGAGTCAACTGGTATGACCCGCGGGCACTGGGTCAGACATTGGATCGTCTGACCGGACAGCGGGCATCGGGTCACCAGGCATCAGGTCATTTGGCTCGACCGCGGGCACCGCGTCATCTGGCAAGGCAGTGGGCTCCGAGTCAACTGGTATGACCGCAGGGCACTGGGTCAGACATTGTATGGTCTGGCTGGACAGTGGGCATCGGGTCACCAGTCATCAGGTCATTTGGCTCGACAGCGGGCACCGCGTCATCTGGCAAGGCAGTGGGCCTCAAGTCAACTGGTATGACCGCGGGCACTGGGTCAGACATTGGATCGTCTGACTGGACAGCGGGCACTGGGTCACCAGGCATCAGGTCATTTGGCTCGACAGCGGGCACCGCGTCATCCGGCAAGGCAGTGGGCTCCGAGTCAACTGGTATGACCGCGGGCACTGGGTCAGACATTGGATCGTCTGACTGGACAGCGGGCACTGGGTCACCAGGCATCAGGTCATTTGGCTCGACAGCGGGCACCGCGTCATCTGGCAAGGCAGTGGGCACGGGTCACCAGGCATTGGATCGTCTGGCTCGACAGCGGGCATCGGGTCACCAGGTATGACAGCGGGCACTGGGTCACCAGGCATCAGGTCATTTGGCTTGCCAGCGGGCACCGCGTCATCTGGCAAGGCAGTGGGCACCGGGTCACCAGGTATGACAGCGGGCTCTGAGTCAATTGGCACGACAGCGGGCACTGGATCAGGTACCGGATCATCTGGATCAAACAGCGGGCATCGAGTCAACTGGCCTAATAGGATCGTCGGGCTGGATCAGTTCATCAGGCTGAATGCAGGCATCAGGCTGAATGCAGGCTTCAGGCTGAGGAGAGGCATCCGGCTGAGGAGAGGCATCCGGCTGAGGAGAGGCATCCGGCTGAAGAGAGGCATCCGGCTGAAGAGAGGCATCCGGCTGAAGAGAGGCATCCGGCTGAAGAGAGGCATCAGGCCGAGTAGAGGCTTCAGGCTGAGTAGAGGCTTCAGGCCGAGTCACGGAAGGCAGGCTCACCGGTTTGGATACTGGCAGGATGGTATTGGTTGGAAAGAATTTTCGCTTTTTTCTGGTTTTAACTACTGGAGCACTGCAAGTAAACGCAGGTCTGCAAACGAATGGAGCAGCTGGAGACAGAGAAAAACTGGAGGATGGAACAGGAGAGGGAGCAGTTGCTACAGAGGGCTCTTTTACAGGGTTAAAGGCAGGATAGGTGCAGCGAGTGTGGAACAGGGTACTGACATGCGGTAGATAGCAGGGCAGGAGGAGCTGTTGGGAATGCAGGAGTAGAGTTAGAAGCAGGACTGGGTCTTTGTAAGCTGACTGAGGACTGGGTGCAACAAATCTGTCCATGTCTGCAGTAGGGGTTGAACAAAGCTGAGCTTACACAAAGTCTGTCTGGTCAATGACTGCACTGCGTTGATACAATCTCTTAGTGTCTGTGGTGAACATGTGGAATAACGCTCCAAAAGGTAACCCACATCATCCTCTAATAACCACACCAGGGACTCTACCTGGTCTGCACTAAATGGTGGCAAAAATTCATCCCTGCATTCGGGGGAACCAGATGAAACCAACTCAGCACAAACCTCAATCAATGGCTGCACCTCAGAGAACACTGTGCCCTGATCTACTAGAACATGAGCGAGCCGTATACATTCTAGCAATTCATCCCGGGTATACTCCTTCAGAGTTTGATAAGCATACTCCCTGTCATCAAACACTAGCAGATATAAATACTCAACCTCATCAAGATCCATCCTTCCCCATCAACAAGCCAAGATGGCTTCCCTGTGCAGCCACTTCTGGTCAGGATTGGCCCTTGGTGTAATGTCAGGGCTCCCAGGGTATGACCAGAGATGTTGTGACTGATGCAGGGAAACGCAGACTTCAGAAATGTGATAAACAATATAAATTATTAACACTAACCATACAAACATAAACGCAGTGCAATACTAAACATAATACAGTGCAAAACTAAAACCAAACCAACCACCCACAGATAACAGTACATACAAGCAAGCGTCGTCAGGCAGGCCGGGTCCAATATCAATTGGGCAGGATGGTACTGGGGTTGGGGAGCAAGCAGAGGAATGGTCCGGGGTCACAGCCAGGTTCAGCAGGTAGCAAGGCAGCGATGTGGTAACAGAGGGTCTAGAGACAGAGGGGTGGTCAGGGTCACAAAGCCAGGATTCAGAGTCAGGGGAGAAGTCTTAAGCAGCAGTTCAGATCAGGGTCAGGCGAAAGGAACAGAAACAGGATGCAGGACTACAGAAACAGGGGCCCAGGACAAAACACAAACCCAACACCAGGTCATAGTCTGCAAAGTCTGGCCATCTCCCTAAATACCCCAGTATCATCAGTTCCAGGTGGTTAGCTGGCTGTATAAAGTTGAGTCTCTGATTGCTGGGAGCACCCGCTGGCCAGCCCTGGTACTGCAGAATCAAAAGGCAGGTTAGTCCCACCATTGCTGGCCATCCATTCCTAACACCTGGGGAAGACGCGGGGAGACTTGGCTCTTTATACGCACCCGCGATCTGAGGTAAGGACAATCCTCGGGAAGCCCAGTGGAACGTGGCTCTCCCCCACAGTGAATCTGGTATGAACAAGCCTCGGGAAACGCAGGGGAACCGTGGCTCTCCCGCGCCGCGTTTCTGGTATGAACCAAGCCTCGGGAACCCGCAGGGGAACGAGGCACTCCCGCGCCGCGTTCTGGTATGAACAAGCCTATGGGAAGCCGCAGGGGAACGTGGCTCTCCCACCCGCTTTCTGGATGAACAACCCCGGGGAACCACGGGGGAACATTGGCTCTCCGACGCGTCGGATGAACAAGCCTCGGAAAAAAAACAGGGAACAGGGATCCCCGCCCCCGCGTTCGGGTATAAAAAAGTGTTGCTAAAGGCAAAATTTTTTTTTTTTTTTCAACCACTTGCCCTCCAGAGGTTTTTACCCCCCCCGACCGGGGCCTTTTTTGGCACCGTTAGTTTAATGACAATTGGAGTCATGCAATGGGGTACATAAAGAAATTTATGTCCTTTTTTTCCTTTTTCCATTCTTTTGGGTATTTGATTTTCTAATTTTTTTTTTGCGCTATAAAAAAAAAAGGTTTGTTTTTTAACAAACAAATTTTTGGAAAAAAAAAAACGATATTTTTGACTTTTTGCTAAAGCTATCCAATAAAAAAAAAAATTTAAAAAAAAGTTTCTTCAAAATTTAGGCCAAAAGAAATTTTGCTGCAGCCCTTTTCTAAAATAAAACCCCCAAATTGTACATTAACTGGTTTACCAAAAATTAAGGCGGTAATATACTGGAATTTTTTTTTTGTATTTTTTTTTATACTAGTAAAGGCGGGGTTTCACGACTTATGGCGGGGCTGGGCGGGGCTTTTTGACACACTGGGGGGGGAACTAACGGCCCCGACACTCACTAAACATGATCAGTGCTAATAAAAAGCTTGACTGTACTAAGGCACTGGGCGGAAGGGGTTAAAATCTGGGGTAATCAAAGGGATTAACTGTGTTGTCTTTCACTTGTGATGTTTTTACTAGGGGAAATGCTGTTGCTGACGGAGGAAAATCTGTTTGTTTACACAGGACCCCCCTCATCTTTAGTCAAACACCCGTGCCCCGGGCCAAGAAATGCCGGCCGGGAACAGTGATTGACCCTCGCGCAACCCAAAGGGAGCGCAGGGAAGGGGGAACTGCACAATCATGTAATTAAAAACTGATTTTTTGCAGAGCGGTCACCCTGTAGTTATATCTTTTTAAAAGGACAGTAGGCAAGTTGTTAATTAAAATTACGTGTTTAACACCTGCTCTGTGCAGTGGGTTTTGCAGTCACCCGATTTTCTCGGGTTTCCCTGCCAGTGCTCCGGTCCCCCTCTTCTTTGTATTTCCTAGCAAGCCATTTACTATGGGGAAAATGATCATGTTTGCGCCCTGCTCCCTTTGACCACACAGCGGATTTTGCCCCACCCCCCCCTTTTTCTCTACGCACTTGATTTAAAAACAAAACAAAACCAAAAGGCTCCTGCTGCGTTCGAATTTTTTCCCCTTGTGAAGAGGAAGCGAGAAGAGGGAAAACCCCGTGCCAGGTGATCTCTTTCCCCTTTTTTTCCCTTCACAAGGGGAAGGGGGAGCACAGGAAACTTTAAAAACTTTTTTACCTTAATGCAAGCAAAAGCATTAAGGGAAAAAAAAAGTTTTTTGGTTTATATCATTTAAAGTGGGAATGAACCCCCACCTTTTCAGCCCAAGGATGCGACATCTTAAAGTTGAACTTCACTCTCACAATCTACAAGGACACTTTTATAATCCTATGCTGCTAGCATTAGAAAAATGGGGGTATAATATTGATATATATTTTTTTTAAACTCTTTTTTTAACATTATCATCTACTTCTTGGTTTCCATGCCTACCAAATGATGTCATGCCTCCCAGGAAGTCTTCAGGGGAGGGGAGGGGAAAGTGTTTTTCTCAGCTAAACACCACCCTCCTGTTGCATTTCTGACTATTGGGGGGTATGTGGGGACGATTTAGTTGGGGGTGGTGATTTGGGGATGGGATTTATGTAAGGTGAAGAGGGGGGTAAGAGGAGAAGGATTTTACTATGAGGGGGGATTTGGGGGAAGGATTTCGTACTAGGAGGGGGATTTTGGGGGAAGGATTTGTACTAGAGGGGGGATTTTGGGGGAAGGATTTGTACTAGGAGGGGGGTTTTGGGGGAAGGATTTGCACAGGGAGGGGATTTTGGGGGGAGGATTTTTTACTAAGGGGGTTTTGGGGGGTT